TATGTTTGAATGTGGTAGTGCCCGACACACTTGAGAACGCAGTCAAGCACTGAGCATCTACTATAGGACAGTGAAGAAAGGTGGGCAAAGCTAATTGCGACAGTCAACGTCATTTGTTACAAGTACACTTCTTTGTGAAAAATTAGGGATAATTTGAGAATTCTAGATGTTTTATTGGAATGGGTAAACATGCGGTTATTGAATGTCACTCTATTCGTAAAGTTCTCGATGCGGCAAAACTTTGTGCTTAGTTTAACCTGCCTAGTTGAGAAATGAGGCTTCGGATGTAATTGACTTAGACAGTTCAGAATTTGGCTGTGGTTGACAATTTCTTTGGAATTGTTTTTTTAAAAATCGAGGAGAAACAAGTCCTGCGTGTGGACCTTTTCTAGGGTCACTAAAAGATAAGAATTGGGGAGAGGCATGATTTCCTGGGTTCATGTGCAGCTAGGCATTAGCTTCACACTTTAATCTGAAGTGATCCTGGAAAGATTCGCGTGCGGTTTTACATAATTTTAGGTGAACAATTTGTGAAAATATTTGATAGAAGGATTTTCAGCGACCTTATGAGTAGTGTATTACGCCTAGGCTGCTGAAGGGAAGCTGGTCGTCTCACAACAGTCTTCTCACTAACAAACATCTAGACGCCCTACAAGTCTTACGAACGAGCAGTGATATACTGCTAAGAAAGTCCAACAAATAAATAAACAGTATTTATGAACTCAGAAAGATGATGTTAATCTTGCATGACACTTCAAAATTTAGCAGAGAGCAAGAGACGAAAAGCAAAACTGAAAAAACCGGTCGTGGGCTGTCGACGGATTTTCAGCAACCTTGTGAGTAGTGCATTACAAATATTTACATGTATCGCGATATCTCGAATATCGTAGCGACTGAAACATGAGGCGGCCTGGTGCAGCGCATTCAGTAGCCTGGAAACATCACAAACGGGAGATTCAGCTGGGTTCCAGGTGAGTCTCTCAAAAAATCAAATTAGTTTGCAAATGAGTGTATATTCACTAAAACTGATAAACTTTGTTCTTGTTAGTATGGATTTATGGTCTGTTTTCCGGCCGATAGATGAGTCTCCGGTCAACACCGGCTGCAGTTTTCAAGTACTTGTCTATAACAACTTACGCAAAAGTTTGCGTTCATGGATGAGGAAGACAAACAAGGACCCAGCGGGTTCCGAGTACGTTCCTGTTTCATCTACCAAGCGCCACATCGACTTCAGTACGTCAGTGTTTATAGATGTCATTTGTAACCAGCATAGCGCAGGTTTCATTCGTTGTGGGCAAAAGCTAGGATGAATTAGACTTGATTAATCAAGTACACTAGCAGCTGATCTGTTCATCGATCTTGACAACTGGTTTACAAAGGTTTCATCGGAATGCGATTAGACATCGTTAGTGGGTCGTTGAGTGATGCAGTGTGGCCCACTGACGACGCCGGCTCGACTAGTGACGAAGCATTCGTCACGTTCACCAAGTGGATTGCCTGTCACATCATCACCAAATCAACCAACCAAGCTGTTCACATTCGGACAGTCATCTACATTGCTAAAACTACCGTAGTTTACACAAGAACAGCAGAACAACCGGAACTGTGTTTGTCCTAATACCAACTTTTGGTCACATATGCCCGCATGCCCTAACAAAAACTCTAGCTGATTGGATGTCAAATGTCACATGTGACCAAGAACAATGACGCTAGTTGATGCCGTCTCAACAATATCAATAGATAAATGTGTGTAAATTGCCAAATTTATTCACCGTGGAGGTTGCCTTTTACATAAAGAGAATGCTGGTGGCTTAGGCATCCTCGATGTTCGTTAACTTGGTCACTGAGCTGAGCGATTTCATTACAAAAGTTTCATCACCAATCGAGGTGACATCATCGGTGGGTCTTTAGGGAGTGCATTGGAACGTAGCGATTGGGTCGGTGGTTGTGCAGCTTTATCACGGACAGCTTTGTCGCAAACCGAATCGACGAGGAGGTTTAATGTAGACTTCATAGTTGTGTGTGTGGTGCCCAAAACCTAGACAACATGACGATAACGTTCCTCGGTCAAAGTCTTCGGCTCAAACGCCCGACTGCAAAACAACGGTAACTGGCTTGAAACAAGTTGAGAAACCCAACATTTAGCAAACACACTTATTCCAACCCCCAATCTGAAAGGCCCAGAGCTTGTGCTTTTAGTCCTCAATCGATCGACCAGGCAGCAAAGACCCTGCAGACGCTGCATAAGCTATCTACAGTACAGCTCAGTGGGTTACTGAGGTACGCGCACCTGAAGACGAGTTGACGTTACTGTCATTATTTTTCTACTTCTGTTGCCACTCCCTTCTTATTCACGATCTACCGATTTTTCTGATGACATAAATTCGCTGGCGAAAGTGGTGGATTTCATAGTGCTGTTTGCACTCGTGATGCAAAAGAGTCAAACTCAGTTGCCTCTCTTTGATTGGTTGCACACGAAGACCCGTGCACCCATCCCAGTTCAGTCGAAACCGTAAAAATGCAAGGATTCGGAAAAGCGATTCTATTCAACTGTAAACAGGTGGTATGAAGCCCCACTCTCGCAATCATATCTAGTCTATAGATTGTCTATCCATCCAGAGAAGAGTAGGTTACGTGTACGGTGCAACAGGCAACGTTTCTTTACAAATCTGAGTTTAACCTAACTTCTTGTTGTCTGAGAAAACATGGTGATACGACAGTTGATACCTGATTAGTACTGCACTGTCAGGTTGTTAGGCCTATTCTTGTTGAAGAACGGTCTTATAACTGCTTGTTGGGCCCCCTGCGACGATCTGTGAGACGGATTGGTTTGCTCGATTCCCACCGATAAAATCTGCAACCAGATTTGGCCGCAACAGTGAGGCTAATTTTGCGCAACACACTATCACGTCTGAGTGGAATGATATAGACATTCTAGGCTGTGTTAGTAATGCCGCGACAAACTGAGGAGGGACGCAGATATATGCAATGTTTTGTCAAAAGCTGGTGGTTTTCCGTGTGCTAAAGCATGGACATAACTGTTTCAAGGGAATACCTTTCGTATTGAAAAGTAGCTGGCTTAACACGATCTCTGCAAGGCAAAATCCTCTGTAGTGATTATTTTCTGACTATCCAGTCAGTCATCACATAACAAGAGTTCCCCGTAGAACGAGGGCTCTTGGCCCTAGCAAGTACTAATGGGTTTGGGTAGGGCACCCATCCATTTACCTGTACATTCAAAACTTTGCATGATGTTTCGTATCTGCTATTTGAATACTGTGGGGCTAACCATTAAAGTGTGCAAAATTCCATCTACCCTCTCCCAATTGCTTGATAAACACAAAACCGTGCTTGCTCAGTATGTCGTTTACATGTCTGGCATCCCCTATCAGTGGGTGTTCAGGCATGACGATCTACGCTGCCTACGTCTGGTTACTGGAACAGGAAACCGGTCGGCGACTAAATTAGGTGGCCAGTTTATTTCCCAGTTTTGTAGAGGCTGGTAAGGCAGGAGATTTCGTTCTGCTAGCCGAATCGTTTGATTTACACCACTGCACGCGCACCCACAATGGCATCGTTTTTTGCAGCAACTGGCTTGTTTTCTATTGGGTCTGTTCGCGACATCCTAAACCGCGCCAGTTCGTCCGTTTCCCGGGTCCCACGCGGTAAGTTAGGGCCCACTAGCCGCACAGTGCTCTCAGCTGCAAAACCTTTACAACCTAAGTGAAACTTTTTGCGCCAAAATGTTGCATTTTGTTGTGTGTATGTGCTCAAACTAAAAACCATCCTAATATACGGTCATATTTCTGCAGATCACCAAATTTCATTGTCCACTGAAGCAACCATACCTCTGGCAGAAAAGTCTGTTGGAATAATTTCCCAGCATCGCCGAGACCCCGCGATGCCTGAATGAGGCTCAAAATTTTGGACCGATACTTTGAACTCAATTGCCCGATTGCTTTGTTCCATCAGGGCCACGTCATAGCCTTCGAAAATTCAATTCCCTTGTGCGAATACTGAGCGCCCAGCGAGTTGGCTTCGATCGATATGGCAGTCCATGCCTAGCCAGACTCAAGGTGTGGGGCAATAGGTTAGTTGGTGGCGGCAGGTGGTTGGTGGGATCAGCGGGGGGGTCATGGCGCGAGCTGCAACAGTCACTTTTTATGTCAGATGAAAGGATCTAAGACGATGTGGCAGAAAATACCGTCAAAACCTTGATTACTCTGGTCTATTGACCATTGCAATTGTCCATGTGATCGATCGATCAATTGCGTCCATAAGATCATGGTGGCCTGGTCAAAATCCATGTGTATCGGAATGACTCAGACCTAACTGGTATGGAGGCAACCATCGAAACGGCAAGGACGCAAGTTTTATTCGCAGATTATGAATGGGAGAGGATTTGTGCTTCCACTACTCTGGCAGTTGATTACTGACCCAGCACAGTTTACAGATGGATCCGCTCCAGCTGGTACATTTCACAGTCGAGGTACATGGTTTAGCTGGCAGTGTCGTCAACCCCTGTTTTCAGTCTTTTCAGAGGTAACAAGATTTGTATGGCTTTCTGATCCACAAGGGATGTCAGTCTGGACGAAATAAATCTTCTCTGGGTGAAATCTGACTGGAGAGAAATGAAGGCAATCTTTGATCCCCTGTAACCTCCTAATTCACACCTAGCAGGAGTCTGCAAGTGTGTTTGAAGTCCCTGTTTGTGTTGTGTAGGTAGATTCTCACAGTATGGAAGTCAGTGTAAGTTCAGGTAAACCTTCGACTGTGAACAAGGCCCTAACAGAATATCACCCAAAGGCTGAAGTAAAAGTAAATTCATTCAGGTTACCTCACTACAGTGACTAGACAAAAGTCCCGACAGGGCTTAAGAGTTGGTCAATAATTTGCGTCTTGATTGTTTGGGTGCCACTTGTGAATTTACGGAAGAGAGGGGCTTGATGCTGTCAGCTCTCGGAGATAGATCCGACAGAGCTCAGTGTTCAAAGCACGAACCGACTCACCGGGAGGCCCGTGTTTGGAACCCAATCCCGGCATTTCGACAGCTCTCGTTTGGGTTTAGGCAACTTGGCATTATCTTAGGCCTCGTAGCTCCTTCGGGTGTCATGACACACAGACACCGCAAGAGTCTTACAGCTGAATCATTATTCACCATTTATTTACTGGTGCCTTTGAAGACGATCGCGGTGGCAAACCATATTTTGTGGCTCTGTTTTGGGTCTTGATAGCGACAGATAAGCTAGACTGTAGAAATTCTACCAATCAGTCTGGCGATTCGATTTCCCGGAGTTGTTTACCTGACACAGTGATAGATGGGATTACGTTCGCCTAACTCCAGTGGTTTCGAACCTCTAATTCGTCCGGATATCCCAAAATGTTCGTCGGTTTGCCAGGAGCGGTATCACTGTTCGATCTTAAACCGTGATTGCCTCCAGTCATTTCCGAATAGCCTATAGATGCACAACTGAAAGCTAACCAAATCGTTTTTTTGTTTTCAATATTTAGGGTTACACAGTGACCGCTTTTTACTCGATCAGCCCCTTCCATATTTGGTAAGCTAAAGTGGACACCACTCTGAACTCAGCTGCAGAACAATACCAACGTGATTGCAATCGAATCAATGATAACGCAAACTCAGCATGTCTTACGGAGTTTGAGACATGATTCGACTCCAAGTAGCGGTGTCACAAAGTGTCCCCTCCACTGAGCGCAGAACTCAATGGGTCCCACAACCTGCTACCAACTTAGCTTAGCATCGAGTCATCTTTGAATTCTGTCAAGACACTAGGATTCACATCAGTCGGTTATAGGAATTTTGACGAAACAAAGCCTACAAACCGCTTGAACCCTCAAACACAAGAAAGCGCACCGACCAGAAGAGATACTGCTCGCGTAATAGATTCATTTGCACACCAGTTTGGTTTTCACGGAGATTCAACGGAATCCAGTTGAATTTCTATTTTGTGATAAGTAGCTGCTTCCAGAAAACTATAGTGCGATGTTTCGAATATCGTACCAAGTGAAGCATTAGCCGGTGTCATTTGGGCACAACCATCAGTTGAACAAAGCGATCGTAAACTCGAGATTCAACTGGGGTTCAGCGGAGCCTTCTGCTAAATTTGTATTGGCGTAATTCGGTCAAAAAATTGTCCTCAGAAAAGTCAGTCGAGATGACACCATCCAGCACTGTGTTCGGTTTTGCACAGGACGGCACCGGACGTCATCAGTCAAGCCTCATGTGGTTGGACTGCTCTGACTTTACACGGTATCCCTATGTATATAGGCAGATTACAGTGGTGAGCTCTAGCAAACCTGAAGTGTGTAAGTGAGTGCATTTTACTAAGCTCGTTCAATATGGGTACAAGTGGAACATAAATTTAACGGAAACCATTCAGAGTTCTGCATCAGTTATGGGATCCAGCTGAGCGATATCGGGCGACCAGAGAATAACTGTTCGAAATATTCGGCCCATTGGTCGAAGCGTGCTTTTTCATTCAAGATGGTCGCCCAAATTTGATCCATGATGGTTTCACTCACAGGCGGTTCCCGGGGACTGATCAAATGGAAAATCTACTGGCATTACCGTCCTTCTGGGCCTGTTTCATTTCCTTAGCATCCTTTTATGTTCACCAGGCTTCACGGTCGGTGCGTACGCTTGCTTCCACTTGTACCATTCATTAAAAACGAAATCCGCTGAACGACAAGAACAAATCCATAACAAGAAAGTTGGGTAAAAACCTTGATCTCATGTTCCAATCCATGAAAATCTGATATGTTTGAACATTCACACATTGTCGCACTACACTGCTGATCGTTATCCGGTGAATGAAATTAGTTTCTCGGAAACGACGTTGTTTTAAGAGCTTCCCAATTTATGAGCAAAAACTCCATGCCTAATGCTTTTTTCTACGACTTCTTTGTCTGGGTGATTTGGTTCAGTGAGTGACTTCTCAACATCACCAGGTACCCCAAATTGAAAAAAACATCACTAAATGAAATGTAACATCCAGCTTTCCGTAAAATGTGATTCGCTCAAAATCGACGAATGTCGTAAGTCCGGCTGAAGCTATATCATGCTTGCAAGCTGTTCAAGTTTCTACAACCAACAATATGCTCGCTGATGTAAAATATGCGACAGGATCAGCCCTGTATCTAAATTTGCACCCAGAATCTACTCTGCCTGAGTAGACGATTGCGGAGACCTATGTCTTCATACGTAGAGACTTTTTATTCAGAATAATTATCGTGGTGTAAACACTCATTAACCTCTGGTAACTCGTACGACGTTAGCAGTCGGCTCCGGAGAGTTTTTTCAGACGATTTAATGTTACAGATATATATATATATATATCCCTATGTATATAGGCAGATTACAATGACCTAGCCTAGCAAACCTGAAGTGTGTAAGTGAGTGCATTTTACTAAGCTCGTTCAATATGGGTACAAGTGGAACATAAATTTAACGGAAACCATTCAGAGTTCTGCATCAGTTATGGGATCCAGCTGAGCGATATCGGGCGACCAGAGAATAACTGTTCGAAATATTCGGCCCATTGGTCGAAGCGTGCTTTTTCATTCAAGATGGTCGCCCAAATTTGATCCATGATGGTTTCACTCACAGGCGGTTCCCGGGGACTGATCAAATGGAAAATCTACTGGCATTACCGTCCTTCTGGGCCTGTTTCATTTCCTTAGCATCCTTTTATGTTCACCAGGCTTCACGGTCGGTGCGTACGCTTGCTTCCACTTGTACCATTCATTAAAAACGAAATCCGCTGAACGACAAGAACAAATCCATAACAAGAAAGTTGGGTAAAAACCTTGATCTCATGTTCCAATCCATGAAAATCTGATATGTTTGAACATTCACACATTGTCGCACTACACTGCTGATCGTTATCCGGTGAATGAAATTAGTTTCTCGGAAACGACGTTGTTTTAAGAGCTTCCCAATTTATGAGCAAAAACTCCATGCCTAATGCTTTTTTCTACGACTTCTTTGTCTGGGTGATTTGGTTCAGTGAGTGACTTCTCAACATCACCAGGTACCCCAAATTGAAAAAAACATCACTAAATGAAATGTAACATCCAGCTTTCCGTAAAATGTGATTCGCTCAAAATCGACGAATGTCGTAAGTCCGGCTGAAGCTATATCATGCTTGCAAGCTGTTCAAGTTTCTACAACCAACAATATGCTCGCTGATGTAAAATATGCGACAGGATCAGCCCTGTATCTAAATTTGCACCCAGAATCTACTCTGCCTGAGTAGACGATTGCGGAGACCTATGTCTTCATACGTAGAGACTTTTTATTCAGAATAATTATCGTGGTGTAAACACTCATTAACCTCTGGTAACTCGTACGACGTTAGCAGTCGGCTCCGGAGAGTTTTTTCAGACGATTTAATGTTACAGATGTACACAGTGAGCTGCCAAGAATAACGCCAAACAATAAACCCCACCGGAGATCAAGAAGAAACCTTTGGGTTGTTAGTTTAAATTACTCAGCGATGCTGTCGTTGCCCTACACAATACGGCAAAGAGAACCTGGCTGACGTGTACGACAAACATGTGGCTCGGGGTCCACGACGTCTAATCAGTTGGCGAGATGCAAATTACGTTGATCATGACAGACAGTGCTAGACCAACACGCCCATCCAGCTCTACTTGGGAAAGTCAATACTTTAACTGAACCGAGATGAAAGGTTGAATTTTATTGGGCGTTTTGGCAATTACATTTGTCCTGGCGGGAAACGTGCGCTTTCTTGGCGCGTGATTTCCAGTGCGCTGTTGTCGTTCTGAAATAAACAGAACAGATTGGCTGGTTGATCAAAACATCGATGCGCTGGCTGATGACAAACTGACCGCTATCTCACTCACTTTATGAAACGAGCAATTTGGCGATGACATTCTTGTAGAGCCGCTTTTACACATCATTCCCAAGTGCGTTATATCTCGTAGCTGATATCTACTAAGAATTACACCTCAAGTAATAGAAGACTTACTTGAAATGCATAAATGTTCATAACAGGATAGACATACTTGAATCCGAATCGGGTTTTCACCTCTCTAATAGCAAAATTGAAGCTATAAGTGAATGATTTTATCGCCTAGCTAGACTGAAGACTGTCACTTACCTTGTCAAAGCAGGATTGTGTCTACGATGCTGATGTTTGCTGCAATTGCGCACAATTGGTGCACAAGCCCGACTATCACGTCAAGATTGCAGCGAAAGTTGTTGGGTAGGTGGCCTTACACAGGCCGGCGAGCATTCTCATATGCATCCTTCAGATAAAGTCATCGTCATCTGACCCAGCACTATAATATAAACTCTTGGTTTCCATTTGCCCTCACCCCTGGAGCCAAAAATTTGGACACACATGGATATTCCGGACACAGTGTGCTGTGCTCCTGTGCTTCGGTCCAATTCTTTGCAGACCGGTTGGCAACCCCACCTGTATACTTTCTGGACTGGCCGGGGTCCAGAAAACAACAGTCATACTCATCTCGGGAACAACCCTGTAGATACTCACCGCATAGCGGGCAGGGTTCATTTTGACAACAGTCGATGTGGTTGGATAGGCGCTTCCTTGGACACCAGCAGTTAGTGTGACAAATTGACAAGTCACGAAATCCACAAAAACTGACTTCTATATTCTGCGACCTCCATCTGGGGTGAGACTCACTAACTTCGAGCACCGGCGACATATCATCTTTGGGACGGACAAGTCCCTGAATACCGAGAACAACTGGACACAAAGAAGTCACATCGCTTGGTGGAAGGGGCACATGTGTCAGAGTACTTGAGAGTTTGCAAAAGAAACTACCAGTCAGTTAACTCAGATTTACCTTACCCCACAAGGTCAAGAGAAATTGTTATCTCCTGCAATCTCCTAAAGCATTTGTGGCCGTATTTCCCTTCCTCGAACTGTCATAATGCACAGGTTGGAGAGGACGCGGTCCTCATCCTGGAAGGCGAGTCACATCGACGGCACCCATATTCTTTGTAATCCACTTCATATTCCTCTGTCGGGTCACAGGTGGGCCACTTCCGTGCTTACATCAATTTCGCCATTTCGATCGTTGATGGTTCCGCTCACAGGTGGCTTCCGGGAACCGGTCATGCGGGACAACTGAAAAAGTCGTCTGGCATTCGCAACTTTTTAGGTCCCTTCCGCTTCCTTAGATTTGCCTGCCCACCAGACTTCACACTCGGCGCGCACGATAGGTTTCATTCGAAATCTGATACTTTGTTGGGACCAGCGGGAGCATTTTTTCGGGATTCCAGTAATGCCACTGTTTTGCCTGATAGCCAGTGCTTGCGTGTACCTGGTAGCCCCGTGCCACAGGCAAACCTCGGCACTGTGCGAAAATGCGGTAATCTAGTTTCAGCTTGAATTCACAGCCAACAGGGTTGGAAGAGAGTCAAGAAGGCCATTGTGGGTAATTCGGCCATTCGGATACGAACTGACAGCATGAACCTCACGGAAATCCGTTAGCCTCCATATCGTACAATGTCTCCAGCCAAACACACATAGGGCGTGATGAACCCCGTACTGTGGGGGGGGGGTGAATACCACCCAAACTTTTGGAAATATACTTCTTTCCCATCTATCCCGTCATATACCGTCCGATTCTAGGGTTCCGCCTCTCCGAAATAGGCACAGAAAACAACGCTTGTATCGTTAGGCGGTAAGTCGGCTTGCGCTACGCATGATTCAGTCGCATTAGCTTGCAGTACCGGATGCACCCTTTGAGTGAAGTACCATCTGTCCTACCAAAGACAATGCCGAGGCTTGCTTGTGCCACAGCATTATCAAGTCCGTTCAAGTACTGGATATGAGGCAGATGTGGTGTTGACGTTCCAGCATGAATCCACATCCGATGGCGCTAGAAGAGGGTCCAGAAGACCGTTGGAAAAAAGTCGTCTAAATGAGGTTTCTACCAATGTCTCAATTGCTAAGGCATTTGATGGACACCCTATCTTTTCCATCTACACACGCAATCAAGATTGCAGACGAACATCCCAGGACACCAACGAAAATACCGACGTTACTACATTCTAATTACGGGGACGACCGAGCACCTTCACCCATTTGTCTGTGTGAGGGGATCATCTCAGCTTCAAGGTGTCATGGATTATTTTGGGGGATGGCTTCGTTGACCAGACTCACTCGTATCCAATTGGGAGAACCGTCAGAATACCTTGAACTTGACGACGTGCTTGCTACACAGCCAACGATGCATCATGACGCACATTACTAAACTATTCTGCTCGATCTGTCCTGTTCGTAGGATAGCCATTTTGCGGTCTGCTGCTGTAGGAAGACAAACTGGCACCGTGAATCACAGATCATCTGCTGAGCTCCTACTTCTGAAGCAACCGACTATGTGCTTCCACAGATGATCGTTTGCTTCAGAAATACGGGCTCACCAGATGATCTATGATCCACGGTGCTAGTTCGTCTCCCTACAGCGGAAGACCACAAAATGGCTATCCTACGAACAGGATAAATAGAGAAGAATAGTGTAGTAATATGCATCATGACACATTGTTGGCTGTGTAACAACCACACCGTCAAGTTTAAGGTATTCCAACGGTTTTCCTAATCGGACACGAGTGAGTCTGGTCAATGAAACCGTCCCCAAGATGATCCATGACACCTTGAAACTGGGATAATCCGCCCACGCAGACAAATGGGTGGGTTGCTCGTTCATCCCCGTAATTAAAATGTGGTAACGTCAGTATTTTCGTTGGTCTCCTAGGGTATTCGTCTGCAATCCCGATTGCGTTTGTAGACAGAAAATACAGGGTACCCATGAAATGCCTTAGCAACTGAGACATTGACAAATTCCTTATCTAGACGAATTTTCCCAACGGTCTTCTGGGCCCTCTTCTAGCGCCATCGGATGTGGATTCATGCTGGAACGTCAACACCACATCTGCCTCATATCCAGTACTTGAACGGACTTGATAATGCTGTGGCACAAGCAAGCCTCGGCATTGTCTTTGGTAGGACAGATGGTACTTCGCTCAGAGAATGTATCCGGTTATGCAAGCTAATGCGACTGAATCATACGTAGCTCAAGCTGAGTAACCATCTACCGACACAATCGTAGTTTCCCGTGATTAATTCAAAATAGCTGAAACTATATTGTCGCTAATGAACTTACGTGGTGCTCACGCTCCCAGTTGCTATCGAGGTTGCTCCATTGAGTTTCGGAAGTGTATGCCCCGCGGATATTTGATTGTAGGCTAGATGTATGACGTACCTGATGTGCTTGTTCAAACGGATCTACCGCTATGGATGTTAGGTCTTCGCTCAGCTGCGTTGTTCGCTCGCATTTGGTCTGTTGTAACAATGGGGTTCGCGTATTATCCGATCTGCTCAAACTGGGGTTGGTAGTAGTGACCTTGGATGCACCAACGCATCCAGTCAATTCCCCCACGTATCGAGCTACGGAGGCCAAGTTTCCCTCCAACAGACGAGACTCGCGGCCAGACAGTACGTGGAAATTAGGGGTATGCGATGCGTCCCGCGCCTCACTACCGGTATTCAGGTTCAATTTCGATCGCATACACGTAGAAGTCATGTCTGGCGCGAAGCCCGGAGACCTCACAGAGGTTGCTGATTGTACTGGATAGTCTGTGCGCTCAATTCTTGGTTCCACTTGATGTTGCACACTGAGAACGCTCTGTTCCAAACCAAGATCACTTGTATCGCTTTCTAGATGAATCGGATTTTGGTGAGGCCAAGAAACGCTTGTTCGTTCGGTACTTTTCTGGTGAATTGTGAAGTTGCTGTTGTTACTCTGATCGACCAGCAGTGAAGCGAAACCACTTGAATCGTGTGTAAGATCACCGAGGGCGCTGTTGGTTTGACTGGTTGTGTGCGGTTTGTGTACCAGCTAGACATGGGTACCACATTCCGCTTCTTGTCTCCGGGTTCTTTTTATTTGCGGATGAGACGTTGTACGGTGAGGGCGCCTGGACGCAACCAACTAAAATTCCAATGAAGGAATGAAATATTTAAAAATAGAATGACTAGCAGTAATCTATATTTAATAAATCTTCAATCAAGTATGAACTCCAACATTATCCCCCAATTGCTGTGCTAGTGTGCTCGCACAGCGTACAAATTTAAGACTTTCGCAGTATTGACCCGTTTGCCCGAAACTGGCGTTTTCCACACTTTTTTTTTTTTTGGGGGGGGGGGGGGGGAAACCGTGGTGGGGTGAGAGAGG